GCCGCGCGGCGCCGTATCGCACGCGCGTGTCCGGACGTCGCGTCGCGACACCGTCGCCGCCACTGCACGCTACCGCGAGCTGTCTTACCTAACCTCTCCTCGCCTAATCGTTCGCTCTCTTCGCGCTGTCGCTCGTTTTTGCACGTCTGCATGCGTCACTTCACCCTGTCGGGTTCACCCCGGCGTCCTGTTCCTCGTGCTCTACCGATTTGCCCTCACGCGGCCCGACCGCGACGACGATCTCTGCTTGTTTACCACTACTTTCCCCTCCCCGACGATTGATCGTCCCTCGCGTCATTCGTCAGTCGTGGATCGGTGGATGAAACAGACGTCAATTGGCCTCGTCGAGCACGAGATATCGTGAGTCTGCCGAAAAACGCGTATTAGTTGTAATCAGTGATGATCCTCATGGTGGTCGTAATGGTGATTTGATTGTGTGTCCGACGGTAAATGATTCTCGTAAATAAACGTGCGACTTGATTAGTAGTAGTTTATATTGGTTGCTTGTTTCTCGGCGGGATGACGAACCAGTTTTTGTTGTGACTCCTGGATACTTTTATGCTAGTTGCAGAAAAATTTACGACTGTAACATCTGATATATATTATATAGGTTGTTGGATAAAATGCATCGAAACGATGAGTTTGTAAACATGTGCATCTATTTGACGGTTTTTGAATGAGGAAATAACATTTAATTCTGTTTTATTTTTCACATTATTATTTAACATTTATATATATTTTAAGCAATATGCATAATTTATTAATTTAACTTGGTTTGATTATGAATAGAAATTTGCGTGACACACATTCGTATATGTGATCAGAAATTTGGAGCTCGTATGCAAAAAGCCTAATTTATGTGTAAATACACATTTAGACATCACCAAGTGTCTTATAAATTTGTAATTACAAATGTTGAGATATCGCAAGTAAAAAATGCATATGTTTGAGAAATAAAATATTAATTTTAATTAAATAAACGTAACATTTATTTAACATGTGTAAAGCAAGAATACATATGGATGTATTTAAGATACATTCTTAATTTAAGATATATTTTTTATTTTGTTTATTGTATCTGTAATTTTATTTGTCGTATTTTCTAAATTTGTGTATCTTTCTAAAAAAATATTATAAAGTATTATATTATTATTGAATTTCTAAAATAAGTTCAGAAAGATGCAAAGCAAATTATTTTATGTCTGGAATATATTTATATTAAGATAATACATACTTTTTGAGATTTTTATTAATTAATATAATTATAATTAACTTATTTGAAAGCCAGATTTTTTATATGAAGAATTTTATTTTACACGCACAGACCTATGTATTGAAGATTGATACTAGAATCATGAAATCACAGGAGTCACGATAATGTCTTGAGTATCAATATATTAAATCTATTTAATAACTTAATATTCAGAAAGTATTTATTAAAAATGTCAATAAACTGTTCATTATTAAGATTATTTTATTTCCCAATCAAATTCCTAAAAAGGAGTTTTTATAACATTAAATGATTGTATTATTTGGGTATTTAATATAGCATATTTTTTAATTACACACACACAACACACACACACACACACAACACACACAATATTTGTCATAAAAATCAATAATTATCTTACACACATTTGGAATACAGATTTAGTATATTTTGTTATATTTTAATATTATTCTCTCTCCCTCCTTCCCTCTCTCTCTTTCTCTCTCTCTATGTCACTTTCAACATCAGTTACATTATATTTATATAAATGAGTAATATATCTGATGGATATCTTTCAGAATATGAACGATTATTACCGCATCAGATATGACATTAAGTGGCATCAGTAATCAGAAATTACAATGATTGGTACAGCCTGTACTTTGGAAGATGCGTGTCGGCAGGCTCAGGTGCGTGACACAATTTTCAAACTGGAATTCTTTAATGCCTCAAAACTTTTAATTATAATTTATTTATTATTAAAAGAACGATTTTGAAACATCCTATATATGTCGATAAAATTGCCATTTTATTATTATATATTCATCCTTTTGTTTATGCAGGATATGATTAATCTAGCATCCAGATGTTGGAAGACTACCCAAGGTCAGAATTCATTGATCTTAACATCGGATAAATCATTATCCTCTCAGAAAAAAGAACAGAGTTACTCCAGGCATAGTATCCAATCCAAACTCACCAGACTCTATTTTGAAGAACTTTCTAAAGTTCCTCATGCAACCCCAGATTCAGTTTTGGTATGTTCACTTTCTAAACATTTGTTACTAAATTTTTGCTTGTTTTTTTATAAAAATACCGCAATGCGACAGTGTATTATATTTTTATGCAACATGCTGCTTTATTTTAAATTTTACAGAACAATCTTGAGAATGAGTGTGATCTTTTGGGGCGGTTAGTGCAAAGGGAAGGTTTAAATACATTAATCGTTAATCTTTATGCTGGTAATAAAGGATACTCATTAGCTGTAAGGAATAGGTATGCATTTGTTTTGTCATGCTAATTATCTTTCTGAAACATTTGAAATGCTGGTTAACAATGATAGTATTTAACTTTTTAAACTTAATGATAATTGACTCTAATAATTCTATTAATTAGATTTAAGTTTGATTGTAAAGAAAAATCTTTCAATACTTCGCGTGAAAATGAATATGATTATTAATTTAAATATTATTACTTTTGACTCTTTTGGTTGTTCACTTCCAGTGTCAAATTGTTGTGTTTGTCTCTTTCTCTATGCCATAAAAATTATTATCGTACTACATATTGCTAAAATTAAAAAATGTTAAACACTAATTTTTGTCGGGTTTAAAACAGTTTGAGATATGCCAGAGAAATAAAATGCACTTCTTTATATAGGTAATTAATTTATCAAAATAATCGTTTGTTTTTAATTTTAGAATTAAGTTTTAGTATTAATACATAGATCTTATTTCTCGATAGTGATAAGGGGAATCAGTACGATAAAAATTCATTAGCCGAGACTCAACTCATGGGTTATGAACAGGGTG